GCCAATTGCTCCCTTACTCCGTTGGTTTCTTTTCTTCACCATCATCATCCACATTCGTTCTTCTTCCTCCTCCACACCATCATCATCATCATCATCATCTTCTTCATCTTATCCTCCTCCTCCTCATTCCAATCCAGACCCCCTACTCCTTCCGGGAAATTAAGGAGTAGTCACCGCATGACTTTCCAAAATTGCTCAATCGCTGATAAAGACCTTCTTTCTTCTTCTTCAGTATATGGACCTCAGCAAGGGTAGATGAAGGCCGACAATATTCATTTCCTGCCGAAACAACCCCCCGGCGTCAAATTCGGCCAATACTCCGGCTACGTTACCGTCGACCCCCTCGCCGGAAGGTTACTCTTTTATTACCTGGCCGAATCGCCCCACAATTCCTCCGCCAAGCCTCTGGTCTTGTGGCTCACCGGAGGTTTGTGCCCGAATCGAATTCTATAGCTTCATTTAGCATAAATCTTTTCTAGGTTCGCTTAAATTTTTAGCTAAATTGATTCTTTGTCAGATCTAAGAGCTTTTGAGAAGTGATTGTTCATGGTTGATTTGCAGGACCCGGATGCACAAGCCTTGGTTTCTTCGAGATCGGACCTTACAAAGTCCGTAGCGATGGAAAAACTCAGTACATGGATGAACATGACTTCTTCATCTCTGCCCTTCAATAATTTCTCTTACCCCATGCAACAAAATTTCTCCATCCATTCCCATAATCCCATTCAACCAACGCACCCGTAGTTGACACAGAGTACATGGAAATTCAATCGGATCAATGGAGGCAAAGTAGAAGAAGAAGAAGAGAAAGAAGAAGAATAAAGAGGAGGAGGAAGAAGAAGATGAACGAATTGAAGAATGAAGAAAAAGAAGAAGAAGATGATTATGTGGATGATGATGGTAAAGAAGAACAAACTAACAGAGGAATTGACGGAAGGCCCTATTGGTAGGTTTTGGAATAATAGAAGGTACCGGGCAGTATATTTTTAAAATTAGGGTACCTCGTAGTTTTTATCGCAAAACTGGAGGTACCCTGTAGCAATTTTTTGGAGTAACATATACTCCCCAAACACACACACCCGCCACAATCCTAGTTAAACAGGGATTGGGAGTGGAGGCTTGTGTCGGACCTCCCCTCATTGCCGTCACAATAATGAGTTTCCTTAGACGAAGACCGGTGCAGCTGCGGAGGCTATGGGCGGTGTCCTCCAGGGAGTGGAGCACAGAAACCGCCGGGCTTGTGGCGGTGACAGAGACCGAACTGGCAAACAAGAGTGAAGGAGCCGCCGCCGCGGTGTTTCTGGAAGGTGTTGTAGCGGTGGAGGAAGTATGGGGTGGAGATGAGGGAGTTCCATCCTTTGCAGACAAGCCTGCATCTGGTCACACTTCTGCCGCATCCCAAACGCATCAAGATCTCTACCACCAGAGATTCGTCGTGGGTTCGGGATGAAGAGAGGCTTCAGCAGCAGTAGGAGCAGAGCGGACAAGTGTCCTTAAATGTTAGTTACTACTGTTCTTGAATTCGATCTATAAATATATTGTGAGACATCAAACCCTGCTGCAATTCTAACACAAGCCTCCATTCCCAACCCCTGTCAAACTAGGATTGTGACGGAGAGTATATAATACTTCGGACATGATTAAAAATTGGCATTTAAGAAACAAAATTTATTACTCCCTTCGTCCTAAAACTTTCTTCCCAGAGCACTATTCCAACTTCACGGGAATTTATATTTATTTGTGTTTTTTCATGATAAAATAAAATATTCTTGTCACCACTTGTTTTGTTGAACTTTTGATGTAGTTTTTAAATATGTATTTTTATTTTTTTATTTCTATACCAATATTTAAATAAAATAAATTGAAAAAACTTGGGGTTTTTCTTCGTTTTGCGAACCGGGAAGAAAGATATAGGACGGAGGGAGTATTTAATTTACAAATTAATAGGAGTATATCAATAAAAAATTATATATTAAAAAATTACATCTAAAATTTTACAAAACGAGATATTACAAGAATATTTTATTTTATAAAGTACTTAATTGAAATATACAAATAAATAAAAGTTATCGAGACAAGAGATAGAATTTTTTTATTTATTTCAAGATAGGAAGAATATAGTATTTCATTCCTCTCAAAATGTTCTCTCTCTTAATGCACACATTCCTATGCAAAAGTTATTATTTCCGCACGTTACCCCATAAAGTTGGATGCTCATCCAATGCAATACCATAACCTAGCCGTCATTTGAATTTATGAATTAAAGTAAGTGTTTCTTTTACAATACCCAACCTAGCCGTCATCACACATTCTCCTATGTAAAATAATTAATATCACGTTTACCAATAAAGTAGGCTGTTTAATTTCTCCTCAAAGCACACCACCCAAAGACCGTTTAAACACGTAACCCAATGCACAATGTATACTGTTTCATGACCTCCTATAAAGTTGTCTATTTTATGCAACCAAACTCGCTCATACTAGAATGACCAAGGATTTTCACTCAATCCAAACCCAAAAACTTAGTTGGGAAAAGATATTATACATGTTTCCCTTTTGCCATTGTAAATTAACAGATTATTATTATTATTATTATTATTGTTGTTGTTGTTGTTGTTGTTGTTGTTGTTGTTGTTGTTGTTGTTGTTGGTGGTGGTGTTGTTGTTGTTGTTGTTGTTATTATTAAATAGAACTGGCGTGTCTCACATCGTGAGTGGTGTATAAATAAATTTAGTCTATGTTTGGTGGGAGATTATAGAATTAGAATTTGAGACAAATAGCAAAAAAATATGTGCATTTTGAATTAGGTTGTGTTCTGATCAACTTATTTTTTTTCTCATCTGATTGATTTTTTGTAGTTTTGATCTGATCTGATTGAATCTGATCTGATTAAATTAATTATGATTGGATTTAAAATTCAAATTAATAATTTTATTATTATTATTATTAATATTATTATTATGAATCATCATCATCATCATCATCGTTATTACTCCAACTTTTTAAATTCCATATTTTTACTTGTGTCACTTGATACGATTTTTTTAAAAAATAAATTTAATTTCTCTTGAAAAAATATAAGAAAGAAAATGAAACATTTCTATGCCCAGGGGGGCTTGGATTCAAAAACTTAGTTTTGTGGAATAAGGCTAATATCATGAAACTGATCTGGGATATTTTATTGAAGAAGGATGCCCTTTGGATCAAATGGGTATATATATAATACTTGAAGAAGGACAGTATTTGGGATCATCATAGTAGAAATGATAGCTATTTTTATTGGAAAAAAACTGAGAGACTATTTTGCTGAGATGGATACTACTACTGCCTATAACCCAAATGCAGGTTACACTTGGTTGTTGGGAGAGAAACAAAAGGCAGACTGGGAAGGGTTGGTGTGAAATAAATTTACAATCCCAAAGCACAAATTCATCTTATGTTTGATTTGCAGAATTGCAGGGGAAACTTCAAACTAAATGCATGATGGCCAGATTCTTATCCATTGACAATGTATGCCAACTGTGTATGCAAGGCCAAGAGAATGTCCAACACTTACTTTGCAGCTGTGAATATACTAAGGAAATCTACTGCAAACTCTTGCCATGGTGTAATTATAATTTTGCTGGCCAAAAACTTATAGACTTGATGAGGGGATGCTTGAAGATACATCCAGTGAAGAAAAGAAGGAAGATTATCTATATTTTTGCAGCTATTGCTTATGCGATTTGGAAGGCCCGAAATCAAAAAAAATTTCAAGGGAAACATAAAACAAAAGAGGAGGTTTTCATGGAGATAGTATATCAAATAGGTGTATATTTGGAAGGGAAGAGAGTATAGTAGTGTTTTCTAGTTTTGTGCTGCTCCATAATATCTTTTAGGAGTAGCCTCGGAGTTTATTGTATTTGTATTGTGTGGTGAATTTTGGTGATGAAATATATTTGCTTTCGGTTCAAAAAAAATATTTGTGCGATTATAATTTATGTAGAGAAAAATAATACGATATGAAGCACACTTTTTTTCTTAAAAATGAAAAAGTATAAATTTTAGAACAAGTTAATTAGAAAACTGAGAAAGTAATCCTTAATTGTTATACGTTAGAAAAATTATTTTTAAAATACATTAACAATGTTAATCTATTCTAATTTTAAAATACAATTTTATTGATACCTGTAATTTGAGTTTCTAAAGTTATTACATTATAAAATATGAATGAAAAAATATTTTTACATATTATAATTACATTATAATATGAATGATTATTCTAATATATGAATTAACTACTTTTATTTCATTAGAAAATGATCATAAAATAAAAGATATTGATTATAATATAATATGAATTATCATTACAATTTTCAAAAGTTATTATAAAGTCAAATCAAATTATTGATTTGAATTTTAAATCAAATCATAATTAATCAGATCAAATCAAATTTAATTAGATCAGATTCAATCTGATCAGATCCAATCAAATCAGAACTACAAAAAATAAATCAGATGAGAAAAAAAATAAGTTGAACAAAGTAGAGCCTAATTCAAAATGCATATATTTTTGTGCTATTTGTCTCAAATTCTAATTCTATTAATCTCCCACCGAACACAGCCTAAGAGCATTGACAATGGCAAGGCAAAAATGAAATGTCACACGGTGACATATATTATTTCAACCAATAAAAAATAACCCAGTCACCGTGTGGCAAATGAGTGGAGTGTCGTAACATGCAGTGGCAAGTCATTGTTTTTGTCTATTTTTGCACTTTTTAATTATTTTTAATTAAAAAAAATTATTTTAAAAATCTATTTTATTATTAAAATATGTTTGCTTCTTTTTAAAAATATTTTTTTCAAAAATTACAAATATTAAAAAAATTTAAAAAAAATAAAAAATAAGAAAATCATGTCTTGTACATGGAATGATAAGTATGGCGAAATGACCATGGAATTTGCTGGCTTTGCTATTGGGAATGCTCTAAATCAATTTATACACCACTCATGCTGGCAGGCCAATTCTTCTTCTTCCATTTATAACCTAAGCAACATCACCGTTTCGACCTTCATCTCCATTGCCAGATTTCTACTTCCCTGCATAGCAGACTTTCGCCAATTGCCATCACCACCTTCGTCTTACCCTTCTTGCGCACGGGTAGAGAGCAGGAGGGGAGAGAGGGAGATAGCGGTCGGAACAGAGAAGGAGATGACCAGGCTTGGCACCGAAAATTCAACGCCATCTTAGCTTCGTTCCGTAATACGTGTTCTTCAATCAATTGAGGTGAGTCGTGGTCTACCTTTTAGGATCTATTTTGTAGATTAGAACTTTATTGATATACTTTCTAGCTATTGAATGTTGAATTGATGGACATAATTATTGAATTGATTGCTGAATTAAACTCTTGAACCATATGTCTTTGAATTCGGTTAAGAGCATGCCTTAGAATTTGGTCGGGGCTCTTTTACATGTTAATTGGTTGGGATTGGGTGAACTGATCAGGTCGCTGCTGCTGTTCTCGTTTGTTATAAAAAAGAAGATGCACTATTATTGTGTTGAACCGATGTCAGTGCAGCAGAATCAGGGGTTATGGGAGCTATATTGTTACAATATCTTGGACTTTCATCTCGTGTGATCAGCTTGTAAGCCTGATTGACATTTGGAAGGGGTGTCATCATGAGTATATTTAACAAGTAGACACACATTAACAAGTAGGCAGAGAGATCATTTTGAGATATGTATCCCAGAGTCCTTTCAGTTTGGTGAAATATTCTGACACTGAATCAAAATCCTGAACAAGAGTAACCATATCTTTGTGTAACTGAAGCAGTCTAGGAGCATTAGATTGATTGGATCTCTCGGAAAGTTCCTCCCAGATCTGTAGATCTGTAGTGCTGAATCACATATACTATTTGCAATTCCAGACTCAACTGAGTGTAATTGTAATGTCCTGGAACCCGGCTTATTATTTCAATTAATTAAAATAATTAATTAATTACTAAGCCAGCCTGGAATAAGTTTATTTAAAATAATTAATTAATTACTAAGCCATTCTGAAAGGTTACTATTTTCTAGTTGTGCAAAAAAAAAAACTTTACTGAGTTGTGACCATTCATGTAACTCCATAAATATTTAACTAATTTTCTTTCCATGAGAAATAGTTAATCATCGAAATTTTAATCCAAAATCGGTTGAACCCTTGAATGAGTGTTGCCCAAGATAACTAACAACAACAACAACATTACCCCAGTGCATCAAAGGCTCCCGTCCATTGCGAGGTGAGGAGAGTGTTGTCGAGGATGTTATATTTAATTCCTCCAAGCAACGGAGCATTTGTGGAGTACTTGATTGATCATTGATGTGATGAAAGATGAATTTTTTTTTAAGTCTTACAATTCTGCATGCTATACATGTAATCCTAGCTGAGTTCCAGTTCAACAATTCACCATTCTTGTGATCATTTTACCCTTATCACATTCATGACTCATATACTTGGCAGTATACTTCCTCTAAGGCCTAAGGGAAAACCAGCTTTCACTAAGCTACGAAACACTCGTGAATATCAACAGTGAGTCTAAAAATGGAAATTTGATCAGAAAGAACGGCATTAAAATTTATAACAGAGATGGGACGCAACAAGATTTGAGAATTGCAAAACATACGATTTATGGTTCCAATTGGAGATTCCTGCAATTAAACCGGAACTAGACCTGTAGCTGGGATTTCCTCCGCCGGACAAACAAAAGCTGCTCCACATTCGAACTAGACCTTCCAGGTAGGATTGGTTTAAAGTTCCATATGTTTAAATGAAGATTTTTGTTGTTTAGAAGTTGCATATAAAGAATCTCTTATAGTATGGTGCCGAAAATGTTATTGTATGCATTATTGATTTCCTTTTTTACATATGATGATATCAACAAGTTGCTTCCCGTGCTATCTGTGTTACTTGAGTCGGGAGTCTCTTAAAAACATCCTCTATACTTCCAGGTAGGGCTAAGGTCTGCGTACACACACCCTCCTTAGACCCTACACTACACTGGTGGGATTTAAGTGCTTATTGTTGTTGTTGCTGTAACAAGTTGCTTTCCATTGTTGAATGTTATGAACTCTTCAAAGCACACATATGTATGTATATATGTGTGCATGTCAGCATGTGTATATGAGAAGGACAGACATACGATTCACAAGAAAGGTGGAGACCACAAAGAGTCGTTGAGTTACTCTTAAGTGTGTGATTTTGGGTGCGATTGGAAAGAGAAGAAATTTAGATGGTTGAATTGTATTATATTCTTATTTTTTTAAATTATTTTTTAAGATAAAAATATTGTAATAATAACACTACAGGCTACGAAGTAGTGAGTTATAATAATAACAATAATAATACATTGCAGTTCACTAAAACATGTTTTGAATGAGAAATTCTTTTGTGGTCCTAGTGAATCAATATCATTAAAAATTTGGCCTTTTTGCAAAAAAGAAAAGATCCACTTGTCAGCCCATAAAATGTGTGAAAAGGTCTACATTTCACATGTGGACCTTAGGAACACGAAAGAACAACTTTTTTTGAATTTAGCCGTATTATTATAGTTATAACTACTCTGTATTGTTATTATTAATATCAATTTATCATTAAGAATCTCAAATACTAAATAATTTAATAGAATATGACCTGTCAAGTTCATTCTCCTTCCAATCACACCCAAGATGACCTTTTAGCCAGAGTCACTTCAGCTCTTTCCCCTTCCCATATACATAAGCACATATATACATCATAAATGTGCTTCATAGAGTGTATGCCATACTAGAAATCAAAGCCAATTTTTAATGTGTAATATCAAAATGAGAATCAATAAATAAACTCAAAATTCATGCATATAACTACATTTTCAACACCATACACCGTACATAAAGAGATTATGCATGTGTAGTTTCTTGAAATAACAATTCATCACTCAAGAGTTCAAGGTTTTTACTCCATCGAAGGATCACATGGTAAAGTTTGTTTTTTTGTGTGTCATTGTTTCTGTTTTGCTTACCTCAAACCTCAAACTATAAGTAACACAGTGGAGTAAATTGCTTCAGTTATATGTGTGAAAAATTTTGTGTAAGGATTTTTTGACAATGATCTGAATCGAAGTTAGGTTTGAGGCTAATTACGTTGGTTCTTTGTGTGTTTTTTGTGGGTTAGATATGTTTATGTTTTAAGGCGAATACGAGATTCAATTTGTGAATTAGTTATTTTCTTGGACTTGGTTACTGCGTAATTGCACGAGTGGGTAAAACACCATTGGTGGAGACTAAAGGAGTGTGTTCCCTTGTCTCAAATAGTGTTTGTATTCAGGTATTAGTTTAATTTCACAAAAAGTTGGAACTGATGCTATGCCTATTAGTTTAGTTGGTTTTTCTCTTTGGACATTGAAGGTTTGAACGACACCAAATGATGAGTGGAAGAAGTGCGCAAAAGCTAACAACAGTTGATGCCCTTGCATACTTGAAGGCTGTGAAAGAAATATTTCGAGACAAAAGGGAGAAATATGATGAGTTTCTTGAAGCTATGAAGGATTTCAAGGCTCAAAGGTTATTTTTTTCTTGTTTACTTTTGGTTGAAGTTTGGACAGTTCAGTTGAATAGTTTCATTGGTGATCTGGAGTTAGCAGGGACTAAATGGACTCCTTGTATTTTAGTTAAAATGGATCAAGCTTATATATTCAAGACCTTAAAACAATGTATCTAGAAATTGAGATGCAATTGTGCACATTTTCCCTTCATTTAGTTTGGTGTGAGAATTTCCCAACATTTGTTTACTTAATTCTGCCTACAACTTTAGTGAAACATTTAACATTGACTCATTTTGTTTATCATTGTTGTCATTTCTTGCAGGATTGACACATCTGGTGTCATAGCAAGGGTAAAAGATCTATTTAGAGGGCATAGAGACCTAATTTTGGGTTTCAATACCTTTTTGCCGAAGGGATACGAGATCACCCTTCCACAGGAAGATGAACTAACTCCCTTGAGGAAACCCGTGGAGTTTGATGAAGCAATTAATTTTGTTAACAAGATAAAGGTTTATGTCATTTAATTCTGATCTCTCAAATGTTGTCCTTTTTTGGATAACAATCAATTATGCTGATTTCCCCCTTCTTGCAGGCTAGATTCCAAGGTGATGATTATGTATATAAATCTTTTCTTGACATTTTAAACATGTATAGAAAAGAAAGTAAATCAATAGCAGAGGTTTACCAGAGGGTATGGTATTTCTATTTATTTCTTTGTTTCATATTGATCCTTTACCAGAGTAGATATTTCAAAATAATTGCTCTTCTGCTATTATGCTTTATTTGCTAATCATTGTAATGCTTCCATTTCGTAGGTTGCCTCTCTTTTGCATGAACACCCTGACTTACTTGAGGAGTTCACCCATTTTCTACCTGACACTTCTGCAACCACCCGTGCCCGTTATAACTCCAATAGAACACATGCCTTGCACTGGGATGTTAAAAGTTCTCCCTTAACAAGGGGGAAACCCTTGAATGATGAAAAGGTAGTTTTTTCAGCCATAAATTTGCACAGTGTCATGTTCTGTTATTAACTATTGCTTTTGTTGGCTGTCTCCAGAAGGCCATTGCTTCACATGCTGATTATGACCTCAGTGAGGATCAATCTGACCCAGAACATGAGAAAACCATGCTTAGGGCTGACAAAGATCTATACAGACGTGTGGAAAAGGAAAAAATAGACGAAGAACATAATGAGAAAAGGGCAGAAAGGAATTCAGTGACAGATAACTTTCATCAAGGTGGGCAAGTTTCCCAAATTCATTGATTCATTGAATATTTGGTTTATAAACTGTACGTGTTATTTAAGGTGTTTCAATCTTTTACAGTTATAGTAAATACAGGCTTTTTAAATAAAATGCATGAGAGTAAAGGCAAATTAATAATAATAACAACAACCTAGTTGGAGCCCATGAGAGTAGGGTCGACAGACCTTACCCCTACTTGAGAGTAGGGAGGGTGTTTCCAAGAGACCCACGGCTCAAGTTACACAAGGCAAGTTTATAATTTGGAAACAATGAAATCTTGTCCCTTTTAAAGTCTACATCTGAGATTCAGTCCTAAATGATGTTAATGAATTCCTACTACAACTTTCTATGCGTGGCATACTGGCATGTGACTCTATATGACTAAGTTTGAATGCTGCAAGATGAATTGAAATTTCCAATTTTGTGTTTTCATGAACATTGCTATTTCACTGATGTTCAGTGAAAAGGATGTCTGACGGTCTAATGTCCTTTCCTGAAATTTTTCAGGTGATAACCAATAACACTAATAATTTGCCCTATTCTGCTCTAATTATAAATCATCTTTATATACTCCCTCTGTCCCCTATTAAGAGAAGTGTTGGAAAGTAAAAAGTGAGTGGTTGAATTTTGTTAAGCAGAATGAGAAAGAATGTAGACCCTATATCCTTTAGTTTATTAGGAAAGTAAAGAACTGTACAGATTAAATGGGGACGACCAAAAAAGTTAAGTGTATGAGTTAATTGGGTACAGACGGAGTACTTATTAATTATTACTTGGTTATTATTTGGGAGGAGGTAGGGAAAAGTTTTCTGTTTAGTGATTCCCCCGGGAAGAACATGCTTTTGTGGGCGGTGTCTAATTTCTTCCATCGTTTCATCATCTGTTTATGTTGTTATTTTTTGAATTTCAATTTACAGGATCCCCATTGAATGATGGGAAAATTCCTCCAACTATGAAACCAGAGAGGGATAGATACCGGGACCGCCCATGGGAAGATAGAAACAAGGATTTTAATACCAGGGAGCATGATAGACATGACAGCGGTGCTGCTTTTGGAAGTAGAGATTTACATGGGCAGAAGATTCCTTTTTTGAGTAAGGACAAGTATCTGGAAAATCCAATTCATGAACTTGACCTCTCTAATTGTGAGCATTGCACTCCAAGTTATCGACTTCTCCCAGAAAATGTAAGCAACGGCGTGTTATGGAGTATGTTTTAAATTCCAGAAATAACTCTTTTCCAAAACCTTGTACTTATGTTGCTTTGGTCTTAACTGAATTCAGTATCCAATTCCTATAGCAAGCCAGAGAACAGAGTTAGGTGCACAAGTATTGAATGATCATTGGGTATCTGTTACTTCTGGCAGTGAAGATTATTCTTTCAAACATATGAGGAAAAACCAGTACGAAGAAAGCTTGTTTCGATGTGAAGATGACAGGTTGAATATCAATTTGGACCTCATAGAGTTATAGTCTTGTACTTTCTCCATCTCAATTCTCTTTTTGGTTTGTTTCACAATTATATCATCAAAAGTTCAGAACAACAAGCCCAATACAATCCCAGCCCCTTTTGGGTCTGGGGAGTCAATATGTACGCAAGCTTACCCGTGTTTTAATCATAGAAAGAACTTGTTATAGAATCGTAACTAAATATTTTAATAACTTAGTTGGATTTAATTCTTTATTAGTTAAAAGTAATGTCATAGTAGGACATGATGATTTACATTCAGAGGATATTTAAATGCATAATAACAGATTATAAGGTTATGTAAAGTTACTTGTGGATAATGCCCACCACATAAAAAGAGAGAGAACAATACTTCCTCTTATCTACAGTTTCATAAATGCATATATTAATTTTCATTAGATTCCATTATAATCATTGGTGTTATGATGATGCCAGGTATGAACTGGATATGTTGTTAGAGTCAGTGAAAGTGGCAACAAAACGTGTAGAAGAAGTGCTAGACAAGATTAATGATAATACAATCAATCTTGACACTCCTTTTCGCATTGAAGATCATTTTACTGGTAACACACCAATGAATGATGTATGGATCTTTGTTTTGCATGTTATAGGATATGCTCTCTAATTTTTTTATCTTTTTGTGCAATTTCTTTAGCCCTCAACCTAAGATGCATTGAACGACTATATGGTGATCATGGACTTGATGTGATTGATGTGCTAAGGAGGAATGCCCATCTTGCTCTGCCAGTCATTCTCTCCCGCTTGAAGCAGAAACTAGGAGAGTGGGAAAACTGTCGTTCTGATTTTGATAAAATTTGGGCTGAAATTTATGCTAAGAATCATTACAAATCACTGGATCATCGCAGCTTCTATTTCAAGCAACAGGACACAAAGAACTTGAGTACTAAAGGTAAATCCAAAACAATGTTTTATGATGGGAAACTATCATATATGATCAGAGTGTGGAAGATCTTCCTTTCTATTTTGTTAAGGGCATTGAAAACCTACTCTAATGCATTCAGTGCTTGCATGGTGTACATGGGGATTTCAACCCTACTCCCTATAACTATTTATATATGTGAAAATTGGAAATATTCCAATTTAATACTCTGTAGTTTGTTTTTAGATGAAGTTTTGCAGAATATGCTTGTCTAGTGCCATGTTTAGGCTTTAGAATCATGGACTGAGTGGGGTTAGTTGTATGGCATGGTGCCTTTGTCTAGTGAATTTAAGATATTTGGTTATGTTAGAGCTTGTGACATGTCTCTTTTGAATTTTTCTCCCTCTTTATTCAAGTCAAGATCATTGGCTTCATGACATGTGTCATCTTCCTTGTATGCTTTCTCCTGATTCTCATTCTTCCCTTTTCCTTATATCTAGGTAACTCACAGAATGAAAATTCTTCCAATTATATTGTTATCCTTCTTATCCAAAACTGCTCTCAGTATTCTCTTTAATTCTTAATTTACTCACATATAAGATATGCCAAAGCTTTCATCCACGTGAACTATTCTTTCTTTTCCTTTAATCAATTTAATATTGTAATATTTTTGCATTCCATTATGGTCAAATTAAAGAACCCTTCAAAATATTCAGAAATACCATATTCTCTTCTCACCCTTATTTCCACGTTCATATTGCAATTCAGTCCCTTTTTATTAGAAATTTCTGAACTTCTGACAATATATTACCTTCATCCCTCAAAGAACATTCTACTTTCCCTTTTCATCAGTAAAAAAATTCTTCTAATTTCCGTTAGAAAAGAGTTTGTGGTTGGTATTTTTCTTTCCTTTCCAATTAAATCTCAAATACACAATGTCATTTTTCATTGAGCACTCCAAAAGCAAATGTGAAGCTAATTTGGGTACCGAGGGAATATGTAGTTTCAATTGTTTGCGGCTGGAAGCATGTTCTTGCTTAACAGAATAACAGGCACTTTGACTTCTTATTTTCTCGTTTCCTCACAGCCTTGGTGGCAGAAGTCAAAGAAATCAGTGACAAAAACTGTGAAGAGGATTATGTGCTTCTGTCTATTGCTACTGGAACTAGATTGCCAATTAGTCCCCACCTGGAATTTTCATTTACTGATCCGAACATCCACCTGGATGTATTCCGGCTCATAGAACACTCGTGTGGGGAAGTATGCATCACTGAACAGCTTCATAAAATTACAAAAATTTGGTCGGCACTCGTGGAACCAATGCTTGGTCTTCCCTCTTGCTTTCAAGGTGAAGATGGTGGGAAACGTGCTTTAAGAAGTGACCATCTTGTCCCTGGTGGTATAAATTGTACAATTGAGGGAAATGATGGTAATACTGCTAGTGTTAGTGGAAATGATATTACTTCGAGACAGCTGGACACTGCTGGAAATAGGGGTGAAGATCCTCCTGCTGAGCACTCAAGTTCATCCAGAGTTCGCCTAGCTACTGCTGATGACATGGTAAAAGATAATGTTGCTCATGATGCCGGTGAGAATGAGCTTGCTGCGATACAAATGCCATCATCTGGTCTCATCAAAGAAGTAAAGGTATGGTCAATTTGACCGTTTACTTTAATATTTGGGCTCATTTGGTAATGTTTCACATTTTTTGTTTTATAGTTACTGATTTCATTATCTGTCAGATTGACCTTGTAGATATGATTCAAATTATTTATTCATAATGAAAGTATATAACTTTATAAAATTCTGAATGTTTTTTTACAAATACTGTCGAAACCAGAAACAGGTTTTAATGAAAACAAGAAAATCTTGTTTCCAACAGTTTAAAAAATTTCATTTTTTTGTTTTCACTTTTCAAGAACTGAAAACATAAACAATATTGCCAAACACATCATTATTTCTGATTTTCAGAATGTGAAAACAATTTTTTTACCTAATGAAATCCTTAGATCATCATTTCTTGCATCATTTCTTTCCCAAAGTTGTTTATCTTGGTTGGGGCTATAGCAGGAATGTTTCTCAAAGATTAAGGAAGACCATGGCGAAGTTCCTAAAACTATTGAAGATGATGAAAAGTTTAAAGTGGAGAGAGAGGAGGGCGAATTGTCTCCAAATATTGATGAAGACAATACTAGAGAGGAACTTACAAATAATCCATACGAAAGGAAACATGAAGCTGAAAATGAAAATACTGTAAGGCCGTCACAGAGTAGCGGGAGTGGATCAAAAAACATAGATGCTTCAGCAAGTGAGCTTGCAGACAGAGAATTTCCCAACCAAATAGACCATAATAATGAGAATGATTGCAAGGTTGAGAGCGATGGTGAGGTGGAAGGAATGGATGTAATGCCATCTCTAGAACTCGCAGTGCAGGCAACTAAGCCTCTTGGAACCAAGATCTCCTCTCTGGGACTGCATGATGAGGGCTCACGAATCTTCTATGGAAACGTTTCTTTCTATGTGCTGTTCAGACTTTACCAGGTGACTATCAATTTAACATCATATGTGACTCCATTAGAAAAAAATCATATGTGACTTCTGCAACATTTCACTTATTCTCTTGCTTTTGTTTTTCTAATTTGGCAGATATTGTATGAAAGAATCCAGAAAGCAAAAATACAATCTTATTCGGATGAAAACAGGCAAAGAATATCAAATGATGGAAATCCTGATCCATTTCTCAGGTTCAGCTTATGTAGTTTTATTTTTTTAACAATTAGATATTTACGCAAGATTTTTACTCCCTTAAAACAAAATAGTCATCTCTAGTCAAGGGACACTTTTTGAATCTTGAGAAGATACAAAAAATCATGGAATTTTACTTAAACTCCCTCCGTCCCAAAAAGAATGCCACACTTCACTATTTAAAAATCACTGGAACTTTTGTTTATTTGCGTGTTTTCATGGATTATTTGGTAAAATGAATTGAAAAAACATAATTTGCGTAATGTGGCATTCGTTTTGGGACTAAATTGATCATATTGAACTTGTCTATGACCATGGTTTTTATTTAAAAAACACATGATAAATTAGTTTTGTTTTATGATATGACTTTTCTGGGTAAAAAACCTCTGAAATGGGACTCTTTTTTGGGATGGAAGGAGACCTCATCATGCGGGGAGGGGAGATTTGCTCTTTGGATCTCTTTTGTACTGAGAACTTTTTATCACTATGAATACCTACTTAGGTCCCGTTTCGTTCAACTTATTTTTTCTTATTCTTATTAAAATCAGATCAAATCAGATCAGATCAGATCGAATCAAATCAGATCAGATCGAATCAGATCAGATCAGAACTTAATAAAATCAAATCCCATCAAGAATTATTATTATTATTATTATTATTATTATTATTATTATTATTATTATTGTTCTTAAAAATGAAAAAGAATAAACTTTAGAAATAGGTTAAATAGAAAACTGAGAAAGTAATCCTTAATTATTAGACGTTGGAAAAATTAGTTTTAAAATACATTGACAATGTCAATCTAATTCTACTTTTAAAGTATATTTTTATTGTTACTTGTAATTTGAGTTTCTAAACTTTTGATCCTTTATAAGGATGAGATATTTTAATAAAAATACTATCTCTTCTATATATTGATTATCTCAATTTAATTACTTTTTAATGTATATCTAAATTAAATATTTATTCTAATGTATAATTCTAATTTTACAAACAAATAATCATAAAATAAAAATATTATTACATTATAATATGAATGATTATTCTAATATATGAATTAACTATTTTTATTTTATTAAAAAATAATCATTAAATAAAAAATATTGATTATATTATAATATGAAATATAATTACAATTTTCAAACGTTATTATAAAGTCAAATTAAATTATTGATTTGAAATTTTAAATTAAATCATAATTAATCAGATCAGATCAGATCAGATCCAATCAGATCAGATCCAATCAGATCAGACCAGATCAGATCAGAACTTATTAGAATCAGATCAGATCAGAAAAAATAAGTTGAACGGAACAGAGCCTTATTCCTATAACTTCTGCTGCAGATTTATGAATAACGTGTTTGGTCTATTGGATGGTTCCTGTGACAATGCAAAATTTGAGGATGAATGCCGAGCAATTATTGGATCTCAGTCCTATATTCTCTTCACCTTAGATAAGCTGATATATAAAATAGCCAAGCAGGCAAATGCACTTTATACTCAAGAATATCATTCATTCAAAAATTGCATTTCCACATCATATAAACTTCTGTCTTTGTTTTATTATTATGTATACAGCTTCAAACAATAGCAACCGAGGAGATGGAGAACAAACTACTTCAACTGTACATTTATGAAAAATCAAGATCGTCAGCCACATTCTGCGATGTTATTTATCATGAAAATGTGCGTCTTCTTTTTCCCAACGAGAACATCTACCGAATAGAATGTGTAAGTCTCGGCTTCTCTCGATCTTCTTTTTGTCCACATATTTGATTCTCTGCAACATATTTGATTCCTTGATGTGTGTGAAATGGGACTTGACTTTTGTTCGTGAACCGTGATGTACATATAATTGATTTTACAATATCAACCTTGCAATGAGGACACGGCTATGGTACCGATCTCAGTATATGGTCATCTCATGTTATGTTCCCCCAAGTAAATGGAAAAGAAAGCCTCTGACGGTGCTCCCTAAGGAGAAGTTTGTGCCACAAATGGCATGGCATAAAATATTACAGAAATTAAAGGAGAACTTTGGAAGGATACAATGTGGGAAAATTATTTTTTGTTCAAACTTAGCATTTCTTTATATTTGTTCAAACCCAACAAATTTTTCATATTTGTTCAAACTCATTTTATCTATGTATTTTTGATACGCAGAGAGTAAGAAATCTAAACATATGTAAGTTCATTAGATAAAATAAACATATTTTATTTATTTCTGTTTGTTTTTTTCTTGTGTGTGATTAAACCAAACACAAGAAAATGACTTTCTTTAGCGGTTTTTTCTTTCCCTTAGCGTTTTTTCGGAAGATACACATGGAAGTATTCAAATTCAGAAAACTTTGTCCATTAAAATGTTTTGCTGTAAACAAACGGGGCCTTTATAGATATCATGACCCAATCCCAAACATAGTTGGCATTAAGGTGATGATGATGATGATTATGATTGATGAACATGTATTTCTCCACATAAATGGCATATACATATAATTCTGTTGCAGTCATCTTCTGCTCCAACACGCGTATCCATCCAGCTCATGGACCCCGAATACGATAAGCATGAAGTGGGTGGTGGTGCTATTGAGCAACACTTTGCTTCTTACCTTAGCGGATTTCTCTCATCTGAACCCGAAAAACCCAAATTCTTTCTGAATAGGTACTGTATAACTTACTGTTATCTAAAGCTCTATAAGTATTGATTGATTGGTATTCACATTTATTTCATGCTTGCAGATATAAGCGAAAGTTTGGGTATGAAGATGAATCTTCTTTTAAAACTAAGGCAATGGATGAAGTTCTAATGGTCAATGGTCTTGAATGCAAGATTTCTTGCAAAACAATGAAGGTAAACCGTAAACCACAAACAAATAAATTAAAAATTTAATAATCTGTTTTAAGAAGGAAAAACCCCACATCCCAAATGAATTGGATGAACCCAACTTGTGTAGGTGTCATATGTTTTGGGCACAGAAGACTTTCTATTACGGAAGAGAAAGAAGAGGAAAACCGATCAACTGAGTAACCAAACATCCACACAGTAAAGGTATTGTTGATCTCCAACCAATGAGTTACCATATCCCACGAAATTACGTTTCAGAAAAAAAAAAAGGTTTTTTTATGCTCTGGTTTTTGTCCCTTGCCTGATACTGTGTTTCCATGTTCGCCAGCTTGCTGACACAAAAAAAAAAGGAAGGCTGGCTATTGCTTTTTTTTAAATATAAATAGAAATGTTTTTTCTTATAGGTATTTTTTTCACCATAGTCAATAAGAACAGAATACTCTGAATATCTCATATGGTAAAAAAAAATGTGCAGCTGTAACTTATAACCTTCCTGTTGTGTAAAAATAAAAAAATAATTGAAATCTGTAAATTATGCTCAAGTAATTCAATATACAAATTCCTTTCTAATTTTGGGTTGTATTTGACACAGAACTGTAAATAGTTCGAGTTGAATGTATTAGAACTGTAATAGTTTTAAGTTGAAATGCTGAATACCAGAGGCTCACTCACCTTCAACAAATTTAAGTATAAAGAATACTTAGTTGGCCATTTTCAATGGGTGAATGCGATTTGTGATGGTCTGATCATATTTTTAAAATTCTGTACCGTACCGTTATTGTTTGCACAGTTTGATGCCGTTTGAGTCTATGACTTGAACGGGATATCATGTTTCAAAAACGGGATGATATCGTGTTAAATCAATTTCAAACTGTAACTCATTAATATAAGGTTGAGAATATGCTTTAATTATAAAAAAGCAATATTTAAAATTTAAAGAGTTTGGTGTACTAATATATTCATCCATCCTTACTTCATAGAGTTACTCTTTCATGATCTTAAGAAAATTTGGTCATCCGTGGAATTTAGATTTCTCATGCTTTTCATTAGCTTGCAAAAGTCTTTTATGTTTTCTTTTACAAGTATCTAAGATGTATAAAATGATTATGATGACCACACAAAAGCTTGCCTATTTATAAGGGTATAAATTATTTATTTAAATATAGTGTCATTATAAATTAAGGAGTAATTTTTTTGAATGGTGCAATAATATATTTATCCATCTTTACATTGCAAAAATCTACGAGTAATTTTTAAAACTAATAGAGTACTTCATTGTATTTTACTCTCTCTGTCCACCAAAGATCTTTTCATTGTGTATTATGAAGTTTGATCGATTTTATTTTCAATTCAATTTATTTGATTGTAAAGATAATATTTAAAAATAAAACTTATATACTCCCTTCGTCCTGTTTTAAATCGTTCATTTTGATTTTGGGGCATATTTAATGAAGAGAAAAAATAGAGTTGATTTTATCAAAATTGTCATTATTTTTTAGGAGAGGTGACGAGGTGAAGAAGAATGACTCATTTTAGGAGTAGTTTAGGTATTTTACTATAAAAAATTTATAATAACAAGAAATATGCAACTTATCTTGAGATGGTGAAAAAAGAAAAGTGAAATTTGCACTAAATAGGACTAAAACATAATGACTTTCTTAATATAGGATTTAAAATTTTTTATTATCTAAATAGGACTTAATAATGACCTAGTGGAAGGAATAATGTCCAGTAATGATGGACATTTAATTGAATAATGACTACTTGATAATGACCAAAGGTCCTACATTGGAAAATAAAAACATGTGGTCCTATATTGAGAAAGTCATTATGTTTTAGTCCTATTTAGGTAAATTTCTCAAAAGAAAAACATGTAATTTAAATTGAGATAGAGGTAATAGTAAAAAAGTTTATGAAAAGTTCTACAAAATTAGAGATAACAAAATCATTTTATTTTATGAAATGAATAGTTTAAATAAGCAAACAAAGTAAGTTAAGTTTGATTCTGTGAATAGTATCTAAGAAGATTTATGGTGGATGGAGAAAGTATTATTCTTTACAAGTTAACCTTGAATTGATTTTGGACTGGATTGATTTTCAGTTTAATCGGTTTCATAACTAATTAATTTTGGGTGTGATTAGTTTCGGATCTAATTTGGTCAGTCTTACATTTCGGGTCACATTAATTTTAGGTCTTATTTGGATTTGATTTAATTTGTTTTGATTTTTTTTCTACGGATAATTTATTCCGACTTTAATTTTGATTCAACATAATCTTTCTATCATTTTCACAAACCAAGATCACAAATTTTCAATTTTTTTAAAACTAATGATTTATCACCAACGAATCATTACCCGATTTTGAGTTGATCGTTGTCCTCTTGGTACTCATTTTTCGGGTAATTTTAAGTTTAGTTTCGGAGTTTACAGTTCGGATTCGGATAATCGGGTCTATTTGGTTAGATGAATGACTAACGGTTCTCCTTTTATGATAAGTGACCTCCATTTTTTGGTGACCCACAATTTCCATCCTTCAATTACCTCCTCAAACAACACCCACGATCCCCTGCTCCCTCCTCCGGCCATGGCTTTCGCCGGTGACTTCGTAGTCTACAACGAGGAAGAAGATCTCGACGACGAAAATGACTACGACGAAACCCTGGATGCTCCCCCCAATGTGATTGACGACGGTGACGATGACGTGGACGACGATGGATCCGCTTCCTCCTCCAATCTCGCCGCCGATCCACTCCCCCAGTCCTCCGTTCATCCGCCGACGCCGTCTAACTCCTCCAAGCCGAGTCCAGGTGTAGTCACGATCGCGGTAGCCGGCGTCTCCAACGGCCCCTTCCGCCCCGATCTGAAGCGGCAGCGGATCGAGGACGGTGCTAGGGTCGCCTCATCGGAGGAGAAGAAGCCGTTCGCTGGCTGGGATGAATCGCGGAAGCTCTTTCAGCGGCTGTGGACCGACGAGGACGAAATCGAGCTGCTGCAGGGGTTCCTCCAATACACCACGCAGCGCGGGGCCACCAACTCGTCGCACCACCACCACGACACGGCGGTGTTCTACGACCAGATCAAGAGCAAGTTGCAGCTCGATTTCAACAAAAGCCAGCTCGTCGAGAAGCTCCGGCGCCTGAAGAAGAAGTACCGCACGGTGGCGAGCAAGATGGTCGACGGGAAGGAGTACGTCTTCAAGAGCACTCACGATCAGGCCACCTTCGAGATCTCGCGGAAGATCTGGAGCAACACGGACTCCGCCGTCCGCGGGACGCCCACAGCCGCCGTGGACGACGGCGCGTATGATGATCTAGACGCAACAAACCCTAGCCACACCCCCAATTTCCTCGAACAAATTGCCAACTATACCCCCAATGGAACCGACTCAAAAACGCCTAGCAAATCAAGGAAACGATCAGCAGGGGCACCCATTATTACCCCTAAGCTGGAAGAAAAGCAAACCCTTCTTCCCCCAAACCCAACACCGGCTGCTACTGCCACGGCCACCCCACCCAGTCCAAAGGCCAATGCTTCCAGCACACCGCCATTCAAGGCGGTGACTCTCACGCCAGCCGCCACCCCACAAATCACAGGCCCTTCCATTCCAGGCCTGATAGAGGAGACAATGAAGAGCTGCCTGTCTCCAATACTCAAAGAACTGATGACCGATCACTCCGGATCCAGAGGGTTCGGGCTCGGGCTACCTGCATTCAGCCCGATGCCGCTCGGGTTTGGAATCAACAGCACCATGAGCCCGGATAAATTGATGGCGGACAAATGGAGAAGGCAAGAGATGTTGGAATTGGAAGTGTACTCAAGGAGATTAGAGCTGGTGCAGGATCAGATCAAGGAACAACTGGAGCAGCTGAGATCCATGGGAGGTTGATGATGGAGAAAAGATGACTATCCTGCCCTTCCTCTCTCTTTTTTTTTTCTCTTCTTTTAATTTAACAGAACAAATAATAATCCATTGTATTTCCCATAGTATATTCCTCCTCCATTGTATCTTACATATACTTTGCAATGTGAGTGAGAGATGATAAGAGTGTGGTGGATGAATGTCAAGAAGTGTGCTGGCTCCCCTCTCCATATAAACTTAGCTCTATGAAGGACCTAATGGGGGTTAGAAATCTGCCAATGAAGGAAGTCTTGTTTGGATCATTTATAGATTGATTGATTTACATTGCAATGTGGTCTTGCATGCTAATGGGTGCTGTCCAATGTTGTCTTGCTTAGGCTGTTTTCACTCATAGTGTGTTGCTCCTGCGTGTGACCTGAATTTAATTGGGCATCTCAAACAAGGTAAACAAACTAGCAATCTAAACAAATAAGCTTTGAATGTGCAAATGATTTTTACTAGTATTGTGTTTTGGTGTGTAGACAATGGAATTGTATTCAAGAAATGACCTTAATGACATATAAAACTAGACCTGGCAATCAGGTGAATCGATTTAATTCTGGTTTGGATCTTATTGGTTCGGGTCTTTTTCGGATATACGGTGTATGTTATAATCAATTTGGTTCAGTTTAGTTCGATTCCGAGTTAAAATCGGTTTGATTTCTTTCTGATTTTGGTTCATGTTTATATCGGTTCGAGTTTATACCGGTTTCATATGAAATCCATTGGTATTAGAATTTCTAATGTTAGCCTTGTGTGTAGCCTCCCCTCTCTATGTGTAAAAAGGATATATATTCAAGTGTCAGCAATAATGAACTAATATATTCATCAGTTTGTGTTACGATGTCACTATAAATTATATACAAATTGTATAAAAATAGACAGTCGCCTTTGTTTAAGTAATAAAATACAGAGTAAAAAATTTGTATACTAAATTAGTTGTAAATACAATTCAAATATGTTTTTTCTAGAAAAACATCGATCAATGAGCTATTAGGTTTGAGTGGATTTGAGTTTAATATCGAGTCTAAACGGTTTTGGGTCTAGTCAATTTCGGGTCTAATGGGTTTTGAGTCTAATCGATTCAGGTTTAACCAGGTTAGTTTCAGCTGTATTCGGATCAAAATCAGGTCAAAACCAACCTAGGAAATGACACTTGTGACTAGGTTTTGGGATATGTAGGAGACTTTCTCTTTACTTCAAGAAATGAACTCAAGAAATGGAGTACTTCAAATTGGAAAGCTCTAGTAAGTTCTCTTGTAGTCATACCATTGAATCATATTCTTTCCCTTTCAATTTAAATTATCTATTCTGTTTTATGGTCTCCCAAGGTAAGATTAATCTTTAAAAAAATGGATGTAGAAAGTAATTTTAAAATTTTAAATGAAAATTTCAAAAAAATTAAAAAAAAAATCATAAAAAATAATTTCAACTTTAATTTTGTTACACAAAACAGACATTTTCGTTAGCACGCTGTTAGCAACTTAAGAACAACTCAAAACTTGTAAATTTAGTAAAGTTGAGATTATTAAGTCATTGGTTACATATTATTCTTATATTTGAAAGAATATAATCACTTGTTCAATTAGTAACATATTCGTCTTTTTTTTATTTAGTTGAGATGATTTTCCTTAATAGTATTTTCAATCATTTTTTATTAATTATGTAAACATAAAAGATGTC